TTACCCACATACTCCCCACGCTGCGGCTCTTGAAAGGAGAGACACCGGGGGCCTATTCTCAAGCTGCCAGAATTCGCACCAGCTGCAGGGGCAGCAGCAGCACCAGCAGCTGCCGCTGCTGCTGCCGCCGCAGCAGCAAGCGATTCTGCCGCAACCCAGGCCTGGCGGGAGGTGTGGGCGTGGGAGAGGGGCGCAGAGGAGGGCATGAGCGCTTGTATCTCTGCACTGCGCGCCCGCCGCTCCTCCGCTGACCAGCTCCCTGCTCCCCCCCCTCTTCCTGATCCTGCTGCTATCCGTGGTTCCTTGGCTCCCAACCCCCCCCTGAAACTGGGCACCGTTCGTTTCAGCCCAGCCCATGTGCCTGCTTCTGCCTTCCTTGCCATTGCTCCCCCTTCAGCAGCTGCCGCCGCTGCCGCTGCCGCCGCTGCTGCCGACGAAGCAGAGGCCGCTGCTGCTGCAGCAGCAGCTGCTGACGCACCTGCCGGAGACACACTATCATCTCCACAGGCCGCGGTTCCTCCCCGCTCCTGCGCCTGCTTCTCCTGGGCCTCGTTCTCCTCCGCCTCCTCCTGACAGATGAGCTCATTGATCATATCCAGTTCGTCTTCTAGCTGTCGCAACGACTGTTCCTTCATCTCGCGCATCTCCTGTTCTGCCTGTGCATCCGGCCCGGCGGGCTGCACCAGGTACGCCCTAGGCGCGTCCGCGTACAGCAGCAGCGGCTCCTCCTCTGCTGCAGGCGCGCGCAGAGGCGCCGCAAGCGCTCTCAGATGAAGCTCTGCTTGTACCGGAGCGTCGTCGACTTTCGAGTCCTTGCTAGTAGCTGCTGTTGCTGCTGCTGCTGCTGCTGATGATGATTCTGTTCCATGTGCTGCTTCCCCTGCTTCTTCCCCTCCGCCCACTGTTCCGCCACGTGCGGATTGCTGCAGCAGCAGGTGGTGGTGGTGCAGGGGGAGGGCGTGGGCGTGGAGCAGGGAGGAGAGCAGCGCATAGCCCTTGCCTCGGTCCAGCACTCCGGGAAACGTCCGAGCCACCAGCACTGCTGTCACTCGCGACCACTCTGCTCCTGCTGCTCTTGCTGTTGCTCCCGCTACTCCTGCTGCTGCTGCTGCTGCTGATAATGGTGATGAGGCGACTGGGGAGGATGATTCTGATGGGGGGTCGGCGGCGCGTGCAGCATGCATGAGCGGCGATTCCTCCCTGTGCGGGCTCACAGAGCGAGGAAGAGAGCGCGCAGCGGCGTGCGGGGGAGACGGCGCGTGGAGCGGAGGAGACGGGGAGCGGGCGTCGAGAGACAGCTGTCGCTGGTGGCGGGTGCTGCCGGAAGCGCAGAGGCGCATGCAGCCCGGGGGGCCACGGCGTTGCTGGTGGTTGTGGTGGTGGGAGTGGTGCGAGTGCTGCACGTGCTGGTGCAAGAGTAGCACCATGGTGTTGCCATGTGCCTGGCAGAACACACACGCAGCGCAGAGAGCAGGCGGAGAGGGAGCAGGCGGAGAGGGCGCAGGCGGGGAGCAGGAGGAGAGGGAGCAGGAGGAGAAAGGACAGGGCAGAAGGGATGAAGAGTGAGGAGAGGGAGTGGTGAGGGAACGGTGCGCAACGGGGTTCAATGGAACGCAAGTAGGTCTGCCACCGCATCACACACATGCGAGGCAAGGTGCAGACATGCCATCCCGTGCGCCGTTTCACTGTCTCCACCTTGAATCCAGTACCATGCACCATGGCTTCACGCCCCTGCCACCTCACCTCATCCCTAACGTCCCATTCCTAACCTGTCATCCCTAACCTAGCCCAGGCCCTCACACACCAGCCGCGCGACCTAAGGCAGCAAGTAGCATGCGTCGCGTCTCGTCCCATGAAACCAAGAAAGGAGGAGGTGGCGGAGGGGAAGAGAGTGGACGACGGAGGGGAGAGAAAGAGAAGGCACATACCCATATGTGCACCTCGTGCCGCCACATATCGAGGAACTCACTATGGAGTACGGGTTGGCGTGCGGTGGCGCGTGAAGGAGCGCGTCGTGCGCGACGGGGAGGTAACGGTCGTCGGCCACGTGGGTGGCGACGAAGCGACCGTCGACAGCCACACCGAGCACCAACACCAGCGCCTCTTCCTTCCTACTAATGCCAACCTCGTCTCGTTTCCCATTCGCCCCTCGCCGTCCCTCGCGCCGTGCGTCGCGCCCCTCGTCGTCGGCAGTTCTGGCTGCCGCCCCTTTCAGTCGACCCTTGTCCTTGGAACACCCTTTCATGGCGTCGCTCCGTTCTCTCCCGCTATCGCACTCTCGTGACCTATCGTTCTATTGCGCTGTCGATCGTCAATTCGTGGTCTCTACCGCGTCGTTTCGTGAATAGGTTATTGCTTTATCAGCACCGGTGAAATAGCACGCGTCGCTTTGACGATAATCTTTTGGGAGGAAAGATTCTGCTCTCCTAATGGGGGAAAGCCGGTAGGAAATCATGAATTCTATTAGAAGGCTGCAATTCTGTCTAAACGACTCTATCTATCGACGAATCCAAGTCCTTCGCGCTGGTACTACATCCAGGTACAATATTCCACTAGACCGGAGAAGCTAGGTAAGGAACTATCGTTAGGTCAGAGCAGCCATGAGATTCTTATCGGACCAACTACAACCGGTGGAAGCAGAGATTTTTATCGGACCTACACGTGAAGGGTAAGCGTGAAGTCAAGCATCTGAGTTTTACCCTTGCTCTGACGAGCTTGTCTACCTCCCCGCGACAGTGAGCAAACCGCGGTGAAGGGAAAGTGAAAAGAGGGAGGCGGAAATATAAATCGGCGGAGACGGCTGATTGCGCTGTAGGGGAAGTCCCGGGGAGAGCGAAGGAGGAGGGGGGGGATGTGTGGGGGGGTGGAGTGGGGAGGGTGAGGGTGACAGCGGGGAGGGGGTGTGGGTGCACGCGGAGGGAGGGAGGAAGTGGAAGAGTGTGTGTGGTGTGGAAGGGAAAATGCTGTGGAGAGCGCCAAGCCAAGATTCAGGGATGGGGGGTCGGTCGCATATGTGGTTGGCGTTCAGAGGAGGAATCGAGGAGAAAAATAATGACGAATTCAAAGATGCACGCTGACTGCTCTGCTGATTATGCTTGACTCGCTGACTCACATTGTCTCGATCCGTGTACTGTACACGGACATCTGTCAACCTGTGCGGAGAGTTTTCGCATCAAACCTCGGGCAGAGTTGAACGCCCTTTGCTGGTGGTTGACCCCACCCCAGCCTGATGGGGTATTTTTTATTGCCCGCGGTTAGATGTCGGACAGCCGTCGTCGGCCGTCCGACGTCCCTCAACGTTGCCCTGGGAGGGACCGATGTTGGTCGGTTAATCGTCCTATCCTATGGGAAAAAACTTGCAGTGTCGGCAAATATGCAGCAAAGCTGAACGAAAATGGTTGTCAACCGTGTTCGTCAAGGAACGACCAGGCTGACCACGTCACCGCGATACTACAAACAAACAAAAAAAAAATCAAGGAAAGCTCTCCAGAATGGGGCAGCTTGGAAGGAAAATATGCACAAGAAGGATTTGAGTGGACTCTGGTCCAACAGCTCAGCAATAAGCAATCGGTCAACAAGAGTCCCCTGAATTGAAGTCCATATATACACTAATCAGTAGTGTATGTGATGAGGATAGCCCATAATATTTAACATATTTCAAATTCAGAATTTACAGCAGATACAGAATTTGTAACCATCTTCAATAATAACACACAAGCTACAGAATGCGAAAATTTTCTTCCATATTGAGCTACACATGCATTTCAGGGTTGTTATTCTAATATGTTATAACAATTATCATACTGTATTTTGTTATGACTCGATCATTGGCGTATATATAACATTTCTCTCGGATCGATCTACATGTTTTTCGGGTGAAATCGGATGAATGTATATACAGGAATAGAGGAAGTAGTTGCATGATTCTTACTGACGCGACACGCGTCAAGCTGAGCTGAACCGCAGGAGGGGGGGATATTTGGCCATGTGCATGCACCAATTAATTACAGAAAATAATGTGAATGTAATATTACAGTCAAACCATTCTAAAAAATGTATAGGGAGAATGAAGTTATACTTTTAGTTCTCATACATTACATCTATTTTTGGGGATGACGAGATATCTAGATTAACGTAGCTGTCTGGTTGCCATCACGTCATCCTTGACGGACCGGTGAACGCCAACGATTCGGCACTCACACCCTCCGACCGTTCAACAGCTCATGTCCTTGTCCCGCCGTCATTGGACGATTTCACGAACCAGTTTCGGCGACCCGTTTCACATACTCCACCGTGGCGCCGCGGCTTTCCTTGGGTTTGACAAGGCAAGTGGAGAATTTCAAGGCGCCTCCAGCGCACGAGCGGGCAAAACAGCGCGCCCATAGAGATGAAAGAAAATATTGGCTGGTTGATGGGCCACAAATTGGAAATTTGGTTTGGAATCACTGTTGTATAATCTGCCCTCCGACAAGGCGGCGCGAATTGCGGTGCGACGTACGGCACTTTGCCCCGTAAACGAAGCGCGAGCGGCCCAATCTCAACCAAGCCATCCCGCACATGCTCAGCGAGCATTGCAACATCCGTGCGGCGCGAGGGCATGATATGACACGCACACGCTCTCCCGATTTCCTCAAATTCAAATTCTGCCCCACGTTGTTCCTCCTCACAGATAGCGTAGCAGTACTAAGTACCCTTCATCACTCATACAGTGGGGCTGTCCCGCTAACTTGTGTCGGTGGCTGCTCCTCGTTGCCATCGCGTCACTGGAGTGTGATACCCATCTGATCGGTGCCTAAAGAGCTTCACGAAGTTACCACATCAACAATTTGCCTGAGTCGTGTCTGGAGTTGGCGCTTAAACCCTCGGAGTTTCCCACCTTAAAATATTGGTTACAGCGGGAGGCTGTGACTACAGTGTTTCTTGTGATTCCGTCGCCGAGAATTGGTCGAAGCTCGTCGTCAAGGTGTCACGAAGTGGCTACCTCCGCTTCGTATCCAGCCATGACGCGGCTCAAGTCAAGTCGAGCCTCACGGCAACCGCTTTTTCTCGTGCTCGCTCTCTTATCCGCTTTCTGCGCGCCCTTGTTGGCGCATGCCGAATGCCCTGAGGAAGCCGTCTCTCTCTGCAAAGTCGCCGACGATCCCGCTCTCTGTCAACACGCCATCTGCTCTCGTGCAAGCGATGCCGCGACATATGCCGTGCGAGGCCGTTCTCTTTCGGAGGGATCGTCACGAACTAGCGATTTGCTGACCTCGCTGGCGGTGGAGGCCGCCGAGGCGGAAGTGCGGGGGCTGCGCGGGCAAGTAGCGGCGCTGGAGGCGGACACCGACAGCGGAAAACCGCAGCGTCTGGTGGCTCGTGATTGCATCGACCAGGTGAGCCATACATCCTCCCACGATGCAACCGCGTCTAAAATCTCCCAAGATGCTTTGTTGCCTTCATGAAAGACTTGTTTTCTTACTCACGCTCCTCGCGTTGTCTCCGTGCTGCAGCTGGACATGGCTTCCAACTACCTAGTCAAGGCGTACGAGTCTCTCCGCTCCAACGACGAGCCCGAAGGCCAAGCGCACTGGGTCTCGGCCGCGCTCGCGCTCACCTCGCAGTGCACCGCCGCACTCACTGCAGCTTCGGCTCCCGTCACCCCCTCCGTCAAGCTCGCTTTCTCGGGTGTTACTGCTTCAAGCGCCTCTTTCAACGGCGATGACAGCGCGGGACTCACCGCGGCGACAGGCTCTGCTACCGGCGCTAGCGCCATGATGACTGTGTCTCGATCCATGAGCACAGGTCTGGGCAAAGAGTGCAAGGATTACATTGCGAACGCGCTATCCGTCGTCGCGTCTCTTCGAGGCGTGGAAGATGACGACGATGATGGCGAGGAGCCCCCGGAGCTTGCGGCGGAAAGTGCGGGAAGGAAGGCGCTGGAGCGAGAGCAAGGAAGCAGCGAGCGTATTCTTGAAATGGAGACCATCAGTGAGGATATGGCGGCTGTGATTGCGGAGTTTGGTGGAAGCCCGGAGGAGGTCAATAACGTGCGTCGTGGCGGGAGGAAGCTGATTGGGGGAACCATTAACCGGAGGGCCGAGAGGATTCTGCGAGGCATGGGAGTTTCGCGTGCGACGGTCGGCACGTCCGCGAGCGAGGCGAAGGGTCGCCCAGATTGGGTGGACGACAATGAGGAGAGGCAGCTGCGAGAGCTGCAGCACTTTATGCGACACCACTATCGCACGCTTCGCGAGCTGTTTCCAAGCAACTTTTCGCAGCACTGGGAGGCGAACCGCGGGCGCACGCTCGTCGTGCCAACGCCTCCTGCACTGAACGCTGCAATCATCAGCCAGCTCGAAGTTACTCCCTCGCCAGCTCCGCTCGCCAATACCGCCGCCACAACGCCTGCAGTTCCTGGGCCGGTGCCGAAAGCCACAACAAAGACCGTGCCCAAGGTTCCTCCTAAGACCGTTCCTAAGACCGCTCCTAAGACCGCTCCTAAGACAACTCCTAAAACCATTCCAAAGGCCGCTCCGGAAACCCTTCCGAAAGCTGCTCCTAAGGCCGCTCCTAAAACCGTTCCTGCGACCGCTCCGAAAACCCTTCCCAAGTCCGCTCCCAAGACTCCTCCCAAGACCGCCCCTAAGACTGCACCAAAGACGTCTCCTAAGGTCGCTCCGAAAACCCTACCCAAGGCATCCCCTGCGACCCTCCCCAAGACCGCCCCCAAGACCGTGTCAAAGGTCCCTCCTAAGACCAGCCCTAAGACCCCCGCTACTGCATCGCCCAAGGTCCCGCCTAAGACGGCACCTAAGCCGTCGCCGAAAGCAGCACCAGGGATAAAGGCGCCCGTTCCCGGGCCCGGCGTGGCGGCGGAATCTCTTCCTCCCCCTCCTCCCCAAATGAACGTGTTCGCGGCGGCGTCGACGATAAAGCTGCCGACGCTGCAGCCAGACTACGTCGTGTCCAAGGACGGACAGAACGGCCACTACGACACGGTGCAGGTGAGGCTCGAGCTATTGTGGGTCGACAAGCTTGCTCGATGACCATTACGTCGAGGGCTTCGCGTTGTGGGAAGAAAAGACGAGCGCTCGTCCGTTGTTTTTCTTGCTCATGTGTGCTCATCCTCTCTCGCTACCGCTGCTCCGCTTCTCCCGCGCGCAGAAAGTGATGGACCAGCTCGGGATGACGATGCTGGAGAATCGGCGCAAGGTGATTTTCATCACCAAGGGCGTCTACAAGGAGAAGGTGACTCTTCGCAAGGACAGAATCGTCTTTCTGGGTGAAGGGCCCAGGCAGACCAAGATCGCGTTCGACGATAGCCCCGCCAAGGGATCCACCGTCTTTGACTCCGCCTCTGTCGGTACGTTGCGCTATCGGTGATTGCTCATCCGCCTCGATAACGTCGCGCATGGTTTCCGTTTTCCGCCTTGTGTTGGCTCGTTTGTCGTGTAACGACCGTCGCGGTAACCCGGACTGTGGCATCGGTTGGTGTTGTGGCAGGAATCAACGCGAACGAGTTCACGGCGATGGGCATCACGTTCGTAAACACGGCGGGGCCCAGGGCGGGGCAGGCCATTGCGATGCGCTGCGAGGGCGACAAGAGCGCGTTTTACGACTGCCTCTTCCTGGGCAACCAGGACACGCTCGCGCCCAACGTCGGCCGGCAGTTCTTCAAGAACGTGGGCGTCCTGGGGTCAATTGACTTCGTCTTCGGCGTCGCGTCCGCGGTGTTCGAGGACTGCACGTTTGTCATGCGCCGCCCGCTGCCCGGGTACCAAGGTTGCGTGTCGGCGCAGGGGCGCGACAAGAAGAAGGACCCGTCGGCGTTTGTGTTTTTGAGAGGGCGTGTGATTGGCGAGAGCGTTGGGGCGTACGGGTCTCTGGGACGGCCATGGTGGGAGTACTCGAGGTCCATCTTCATCAGCGTGTACCTCGGACCGGTGAGACGCTCCTTCAGTTTTTACATCTTCAGCCTGTTTCCCTTGCGCTCTACGGCCTGGTGGATCCGATTCGTCCTGTTTTGAGTTTTGCTCACATGGATGCTTTTCCTGTTCTCCTATTTCAGGTGATTGGCCCCGGTGGATGGTTGGAGTGGGACTATGGCGGTGGCAAGAAGACCACCTGGGGGGGCAATCCCTACTTGGCAGAGTACGGCTCATATGGCCCGGGTAGCAAGGGACCCAGAGTGGCGTGGGCCAAGCCCGGCAAAATACCGTACCAGCAGACATGGAGGTACTACCCATCAAGACTGCTGGATCTCAACAGCTGGGTCGGCGAAACCTTGATTCCGTATCCTACGAAGAGTTAGGGCATGCAGCAGCTAGCAGCTAGGAGCACCCACCTCCTTTTGACTTCACTGCCTCTGGTACCCTCCTACTCAACCAATAATGAGGGGAATCCGCCTTGTTGAGAGGCCTTGTACAAGGTGGTGCCACAGGATAGGGTAGTTGGAGAGGCCTTGTTGACACTCTGCTCTCTAATAAAGGCGCATGCATTAGGTGCTGTTTCGTATCAAGAACTCTAGGAAGCCTGAATTATGCTCGTCCTTAGAGCTAAATTCATCTGTCTAACTTCGGTGATCTTCCTCAACTAAATTGGATCTGCTTGGAGTAAGAACCCTATATATTGGTACCATGAATTAAAATATGGAATGATTTTTTATCATGTCATACGATTTTTCATAGAAACATCTCACGTATTGTTATATTTCTTCCATTGTGCTTTCTCAATTGTCACCTCTACTAGAACTACCATATCAATTGTTATATTTAGCATTTGTTTTGAGAGGAGCTGATTCGCTGAGTGTGAGCTTAAATCAATGGAAAGCACTCTTCCAGCAATTGACACTGACCTCTTTACGAGCCGCGCGCGGGAAATGTCAAGGCTGACAAACCTCTTGATGATTTGAGCCGTTGTGAGCCTGGTTTCAGACACCCACGTGGCAGCTTCGTGCAGAGTCGCAAAACTTATCGCAATGGACTCTGGGGCTCGATAACCCAATCCAAATCCGCTTCCGTCGGAGGCGACTTCTTCCTGCGACCGTTCCTCTGTTCCGTTCCGTCCTTCCCAAGGCACGTGCAAGGGCGGTGTGATGGTCAGATGTTCGGACCGCGTAACCACAGGCAGCTTCGTTCGCACCCTATTCCAGCTTCAAATCTGAGAGCACCAGAAACGACATCGTAGCCGCTGGTTTTCTCAAACTCGAAGCTCGGAGGAAGGTTAGCTTCCATCGAGCCGTCCAATCGTACCGAGGACGAACGAAGCCTCTCACTCACGAGTCACAACCTGCTTCACACGTCGCGTCCACCCCGTACCTTACCAGCCAAACCTCCAGTGACTGCCCATCTCACCACGATGACTGCAGCCAGGACTAGTCCCTCCCCGTGACCCTCGATTGTGGGCTGCCGTGGAGCTTGCTTCTTGGGGTCTTCAGCCTGCCTGTACGGTGAATGCATACGTGATTTGCCGAGCTTGATTGGAAGTATCTCGAGGTTGAATCTCGCTCCTACGCAGCTCTTCATCTCCGCTTATGTTTCATCTAGCCGCGGTGGTCAAGTGATGATGTTAATAGTTACAGTAGCTTTAGGAACCACCTATTATAATTAACCTATATCACACTCTGTGTCGAAATCCACTGCTTAGAAGCGATGGCGTTGCGAACTAGCAACAACGCGTTCGCGGAGATGGATTTCCCGAACCCCAAGCTTCAGATTCGCACTAAGCCACGTTCCAAAAGCCCCGAAAAAGCTCGCCAGCAATCCCCTTCTCGTGCACCTACTCGCGGCAACCCCAGTCCCCAGAGAGGCCAACCAAGCCCGAACCGCCGCAGCTCCGCCAATGGCAGGGACTCTGGCGCAGCTCCCGCTCGCAGAGACTCCTACGGCACCTCCGCATCGGTACGCGAGCCCGAAGCAGCTCGGCACGCGATGGGGCACAGAAATAGCCTTGGGGGACTGAGCAACCTTGGCGGCCTAGCGTCCGACCGTGTGGGCGGGGGCCGCCGTGCGTCTGACCTTCCGCCTCCGCCTGTGGAAGAAGTGTCTCTTCAGGCGCCATTCCCCAGCAGCTGGCTCGCAAGCGGGCTCTCGTCGGACGATCTCCGCGAATGTGCATACGAATTGCTTGTGAATGTCGTCGGCCCGAAGCCCGCGCCGGTCAACCGCAACGCGGCGGCGGCGCGGAAGCAGCAGAATAAAGGAATTATTTCTGACGAGATGAAGGCGGTCTTGCGACTCAAGGCGGGGAGCGATCCGGGCAAAGACGGCGCCGCGGCGCTGACGCCGATGGATGTGGTGCGACGGCAGCTGGATATATCGGAGGCATGCGATGAACGCACGAGGGCTGCACTGATACGCGCACATGCTGTGAGTAGTACAATATGCTCCTTGTTACGCTCCGAGTTGTAAGTAGTAATTTATGTTTTATTAGGGAGTACTGCCAGTGAGAGAAGTGGAGGAAGTCACTAGAATCTATTCACGTGGATTGCTCTTGACCGCCTCAACGTACCAGGCGAGGGAACTTCCGGATTCGTCTGAAACATCTTTGGCTGCGCGAGCAGGTTTACCCATCGGCTATCTCTTTCGTTCCACGTTGTGCTTTCCTTCTCCTGACCCTCCGTCTACCTCTCCTCGCTAACCACTCTTTTCCTGCGTTAATTTCTCGCCCATTACAACCTGCATTCATGCTGGCTCCTACTTTCCTCCCGTCCCGTTCGTCCTGCGTGCATCGCGGCCTTTTCAGTCTGCAAAGAAGCCGGAGAGTCTGGTGGTGCCTCTGGAGTTGCTGTGCCAGCTTAACATCGCCGAATTCCCCTCGCAACGCGACTACTCCCGCTGGAAGCGCCGCCAGCTGATGCTCCTCGACCAAGCCACAGCGCGCCATCCGGGCCGCGCTGCCCCATCGTCCTCCGCCTCCTCCGGCACGCCGCCCCCGAAAGGCTACAACCGCGACAAGGCAGACAGCGCCATGCGACAAGTGAAGCAGCTTATAGCGGAGCTGACGACGGGGCAGCGGGACATGCAGGAGACGGCGGCGCGGCAGGCGCTGCGCAACGCGGTGACGACGGTGGTGGGCATGCCGCTCGCAAGCGGCGGAAAGGGCGGGGGGCTCCCCGCGGAGGGGCGGTGGGCGGACGGGTGGCCGCTGAACGTGCGGCTGTACGCGACGCTGCTAGGGTCCGTGTTTACGGGGCTGCAGGCGGCGACGCTGGTGGAGGAGTTGGAAGAGGTGCTGGAGATTCTGGGGAAGGTGTGGCCTGTGCTCGGCATCACGCCGCTCGTGCACCGCTGCGTGTTCGCGTGGTTGTTCCTGAAGCACTACGTGTCGTCCGGGCAGAAGGAGCCCGCGCTGCTCGTCGCCGCGGACTTCCAGGTGCGTGGGGTCACTTTTTAGAGAGTCTTAAAAACGTTTCCAGGTGCGCGGGTACGAGGCACGGGGTTGGTTCCAGGTGGAGACGAGGTGGGAGTCTGAAAATCGGGAGTACTTGTGGGGGGATGCTGAGGTGGATGCATATAATAGAACGCATCCTAATGGCGATGTACGTAAGGGAAAGGGTAACGACGTATGAAAAAGAACCTGGAAAGAACCTCGCGACTTGGAAGGCCTCGATGATACAGTAACGAGAACGAACACCATGGTGGAGTGACCCAGACTGCGACTAAGAGTACTACACGAGCCGCGACGCCGGAAGCAGAATACCGCAACCCTCCTCTTTTCCCATTCCATTCCCCCTACCTCCGCGCGCCCCCCCCAGCTCCGGGCGGTAGAGACGGAGGTGAAGAACGAACTGGGTAAGAGCACAGAGCAGCAGCAGCAGGAGCAGGTGTTGGTGCTGCTCACGCTGATGCCGCACATGGTCAAGTACGGCGAGCCGCGCCTCCTCGCATACCACGACGAATTCCCCGACGGCGGGGCCGCGTTCGAGTCCACGGCGGGGCTCATGCTGCGCGCCGATGAGCTGCTGCAGAGCGAGGAGGTGGTGGCGGCGGCGCAGCGCGCGGCGAGCGCGGGGGTGAAGCTGCCCGGGAGCGGGAGCGCCAAGGCGGGCAGCAGCGTGGGGCCCAAGAGGCGCGCGGATCAGTTTGTGCGGTCGTCCGTCAAGAAGGCGTTCTCCGCGGTGAGTCGCGCGCACGCATCGCCTGCTGCTGCTGCTGCTCTGCGGCTTGGTGTCCCTGCGTTCCTCACATTTTTGCTGCTTGTATGGTTCGGTTTCTGCAGCTTAGCATTCTCTGACGAGCACAGGGAGCACGCTACATTCTTCCTCCTCACCCTCCTCATCCCCATCAGATTAGTAATTTCTCCCCCCGCCCGTCTCTACAACCCGCGACCCCCGAACCCCTCAGGTGCGCGAGGCGGCGGCGCAGAGGCAGGTGACGCTGAAGCAAGCGCACGGGGGGGTGCCGCCGCTGCTGGTGGCGCTGGCGGCGGAGAGCAGCATGCTGGCCGTGGACTCGGTGGGGCGCTACGCCGCCGCGCTCAGACCCTGGAACTCCAACGCGGGCGGGCTCACCGTCGCCATAGTGCACTCTTGTTATAAGAACGAGCTGAAGCTGTTTATAGCGGATCGCACTGTGCTGTCTGTGGAGATGACTCAGGTGAGGACTCCATGGGAGAAATTGCACCCCCTCACTCTCCCACTCCCATCCCCCCCTCCTGTGTACCCATCCCCTTTCCCCCCACTTCCGTACTCCCAAACCTCGTTCTTTAGCATCCCTACCCTATGTCGCAAGTTTCTTGTGCCAAACCTGCTCCCCCTGCACCTCCCCGCCGCCACCCTCCTCCCTTCTCCCCACCCACCCGCCTCCTCCCTCCCCGTCCCCAGGTGCTGCTGCAGGCGGAGAAGCTGGAGAAGCAGCTGATAGAGATGGCGGTGGAGGAGGGCGCGGACGCGGAGGACGGGGGCGCGGAGGTGATTCAGGAGATGCCGCCGTATGAGACGCAGCGCACCATCGAGGTCATGCTGCAGCAGTGGCAGGACAACCGCATTGCCAAGTGCGCCGAGTGGGTCGACCGCGCCATCCAGCTCGAGGTCAGCAAAGCACGCCATTGCAGGGTGGAGTGTGTCATGGTGCCGTGTGGTGGGTGTGATGGGAAGTTGTGTGGAGGTTTGGTGCGGTGTGGTGTGGTTACTCAGGAAGGAGTGGGGTGGTGATGGAGGGGCCTGGGGTGGTGAGTGGTTAAATGAGTGGGATGGAGCCTGACATTGCTAGCATAAACTTCACAGGCGTTAGGTGGCGGTTTTGCCACCCAGGCGGAGGCTACTATGGGAGTTATCAGCAAAATGATGCTTCAAACACAAATACTGCACGTCTCTTGTAGTACAGCATCTCTGTGCGCAAATCACTCTATCTTCCCCCATCCCTGGCCCCCCAATCCTTTTCCGCCCATCCCCGCCCCCAACCACTGCCCCCGTATCCGCACGTGCATGTGGCACTACTGCTGTTGGTACGGCAGAAGTGGGAGCCCAAGGCGATGAAGGCGTTCTGTGCGTCAAGTGTGATGGACGTGCTGGGCCTGCTGGACGAGACGCAGGAGGCCTTCTTTGCGCTGCCGCTGCCGCCGCGCGCGGACATGCTGGTCAGCGTGGTGCGCGCCATGGAGGCCGCACTGCTCAAGTACTGCAAGGCTGTCACTGCTCATGTTGGTGCGTGGTTGTTGAGGGGACGGGGGACAGGGGGGAAGGGAGGAGACGGGGGGGTGGTGAAGCACTCGCGCGCGGAGGGAGGAGATACCAAGACCGTGTTTAGAAAGCAAAGGAAGGATTCAGAATAGAAGATGGATTTCTGCTGGGTTTTCCTGATCATGGAAGCCATGTCACTTGAGTTGCAGGAGCCAGGCCTAGTGGTAGCATCTCTCATCACCAATTGTGTGTCGCTTGTCTCTCACTACGAATTCTCCTCTCCTTTCCTGTGTGTACCGTGGGTTGTGTACCGCTTTCCTCGGCCCACCTCCCTTCTGCCAGGCGACAAGTCCCAGTTCCTGCCTCCGCTCCCGCCCCTCACGCGGTACAAGGAGGGCGGGGCGCAGGAAAAGGGAGCAGCAATTCTCGCAGCAGCAGCCACCACAGCCGCAGCCAACGGCACAAACGGCACCAACGGCAGCAGCAGGGGGGGCGGGGGCAAGGAGAGCAAGAGCGACCGGTACGCGGTGCCACGGCTGCTGGTGCGCATCAACACGCTGTTCCACATCCACAACGAGGTGGACGCGCTGGCTGCTCGCATCCGCAGTGCATGGGAGAGGGCCATGGCGCCCTCTGCCTCCTCGCCCTCCACTGCCGCTCCTGCGCAGAAGTCCTTCTGGCCCCTGCCCTCTTTCAAGAAGGTCAGTCTGCGGATAGATATGGGGAAGGGTGAGGCTGGACTAGTTCCATGCTGGCATGCGCTGGGTACCCTGTTAGTAACTTCGCCTATCCATGCCAATGCCTCCATTCACTTGTCAAATTCCCTCACTCCGCCTCTAACCCTTACGAAACTCATGGCTCCCCTCACCACATCCCTGCCTTCTCTCCCCTCCCCCTTTCATCCACAGGTGGAGACGAACGTGCCTCTGGTGCCGCCGTTGCCCTCGGAGCTGATCTGCATGTTTGACGACGTGCGGCACGAGTCCGAGACAGCCATGGCGCACCTGTGCCAGTTTGTGGCGTACCGCGTGGTGTGCCACGAGCTCAAGGACGTGGCCGTCGATGCCCTGTACGCTGGTGGCCCGGCGACGCGCATGCGCATTGCGGCAGTGCTGGAGCGCCTGCACCCGCACCTGGTGGTGATTGCGGATATTATCAATGACGGGCTGAGGGACCGCGTGGTGCTGGAGGTGCTGCGTGCGCTCGTGCACTGCTACCTGCGCGCCCTGCTGGCCGGCGGGCCGGCTAGAAGCTTCACGGTACGGTTGGGATGGGGTGTAGGGGAGGGAGGTGGGAAAGGGTGAGGGGGGGGGGAGCGGGGGAAGGGGAAAGGTGGCTGAGGAATATGGGAGGGGAGGTTGGGACATTATTCATTGCGATCGTCTCTGGGCGTAGCAAGATTCGCCTGTAGATCACATTTCGCTTCGCACTGGATTTCCTCCTCTGCTCTTGTGCCTCGCAATCACAGCTCGGCCCTTCCATGAGCTGCCCTTCTCACCCCCGTGAATCTCCATGTGGCCAACCCAACCCCCCTTTCCCGGTCCGCCTCGCCCAGGTGCCGGAAGTGCCAGCATTGAAGGAGGACCTGAGCTTCCTCTCTGAGCTCTTTATAGATGGAGGCGATGGGCTCCCTGCTGACAAGGTCCAGGCCACCCTCGCTCCCGCTGCTTCCATCGTCACACTCATGAGCCGTGACACCGACGACATTATCAGGAAGTTTGATGCGGCTTATAAGGAGTTTTTGCGGACGGTGCCCGGAGGTGGTGCGGGAGGGAAGGATGCGAAGGGGGGATTGGTGCTGCCTCCGGTGCCGGAGGAGTGGTGTCCATCGGATGCTAATACGTTGTTGCGAGTGCTGTGCTATAGAGGGGACAGGCGTTCGTCGAAGCATTTGAAGAAGGTGTTTGACTTGCCCAAGGAACTCAAGAAGTGAGTGCTGTTAAAGAGAAGTTAGGGTGAGGATCAGGAGGGAGAGAGTGAGGTTGGCTGGGTGTTTCGACCATCCCTACAGTCGTCTGAACTCATGCATTGTTGCTAATCTAATCCCCTTGTCCTCCAGGCCATGGTACTGAAAGCATGACAGCGGAGTCATGGATACAAGCACATCACCACCAACATGCGAATAAAGACTGGCTGCAGGAGGAATCCAGCGAATCTTGTCAAGTTATCGACGTCTCCTTGCGCAATGCTTCTTTGGTTACCTTCCTACATAATCTTATTTCATCCACACATAACTGACATGCATGTTTGCTTTTCACCTCCATGCTAAGTTACTTAAGGTTTGACATGGTAAGCTGGGGTGTGCAGGAGCAGCTTGAATGCTGCACATGATGCATGGATCTGAACGACAATGTCAGTCTTGTGCCTTCGTCATATCAGAACCTTGCTTGCACATACATGCGAAGCTTGGTGCGTATCAAGACTTTATGTCCTCAATAGAACGAATATAAGTGCCTATCCTTTTCAAATGTTTTGCCTGGATTGTTATTCCTGATCCACTCTCAACTGATTGTGTATGGAACCTTTCTGAAAAATGTTTTATTGATTTCGAGAGCATAGATATGCGAGTCTCTGTGTACTTGTGCACCTCTCTACTCTACTTCCGAAGCATCTCCGTAATAGGGGATCTGTCAACTGTCACCGACAATCGCACCCCAATCGTACTTCGTTTGCACTTCGCCTCCTCGCAGCTTCGTCGCACGTCGCATTGCAGAGCGGTTTGCGTGGTACAAACCGAGGCAGCTCGTGTGACGTGTCCATCCCGAGTCGCAAGGCGCCACAACAGCCAATCGCATCGTTTCCTCACCTCGCCCCCAACTTATGATTCTGTACAATACTAATCGGCCCCCATTCCCCCATGCGTTGTGTCCCCCCAACCAAAGCACCTCGCCCCTCCCCTCTCCTGGCCCCATGCGTTGTGTGTCCTCCCCGCTAGCTCACCTCACCGCCAAACGACCGACCAAATCTCAGGGCTTGTGCTGTGCGGCATTCCTTCCTCCTATTTCTCCCCTCCACAAAGGGGCGCATTCCGAAAGGCGCCCACCCAACGACTGCGGAGGGATCTTGGCCACACTTCAACCTTCTCTCTGCTGCGAACACCGCGTTGCGATTGCTGTGCAAGCGAAGCTCCTCCTCCTAGCTCTAGTGGTGGTGTCATCTACTCCAACACGCAACCTTGTCGTCGCGTCTTCCTCCTTTCCCCTCTCCTCGACTTCTCCTCTCGGCGCAACGCTGTCGGTGAATCTACTTGACCATCCGTACATTCTCCTCCACTCTCTCCGCTCGCCGCTGCCTGCTCTGCTCTGGTTCCCTGTCCATCGCGTCTCGCGACTCCCACCCATCCCCGTTCCATTGCACCACCTTATCATTCGACTAGCACCGACGCGCCTTGGGTACCTCCTCCTGGATCTGCTCTGTTCTGGTAGCGCTCGCCCTGCCCGCCACCTGGAACCATTTCGATCCACTGCTGGTCCCCCCACCTCAGTACTGTATTTCCGTCCGCATTCTAAACCCTGGGCCTCACCTCGTAACGGTTTCCGTCACGCCTTGCCCGTTTTAGAGTAGCGACCGCGTTTATGAACCCATCCAGTAACCATCTGTAGGCACTTGTCGCGTAAACATCATCCTCTCACAGCCCTGGTAGTGGGAGGCCAGATCGAGCAGCCCACGAAGCTGGTTGGCCACAGTTCGACATAATCTGGCGCATCTGCCGGTTTAGTGTGTTAGTTTGTAGAATAGGAGGGTGATGTGGCGAGGGTAAAACCAGCGCCTTTGCTCTCTCTAGTCCGACTTCCGCGTACCCAGCCGTTGGTTGCCGGAATACCGATCGCCGGTCACGCGCTCTCCGATTTTCGCGACGCCGGGCGATGCTGCGACGCAAGTGTTCGCAGCGGAGTGTGCGGGGGTAGCGAGCAGGCGATTAGGGAGTCTGCGCCGCTCGCCCATGCACGCGCGCACCACGGGTGTGCGCTCAGCGCGTGAAGCGGCGGGTGTGCAAGTTCTGTGCGCGCAGGGGGGAGGAGCCATGCGCAAGCGGAGACAAGGCAGCAGCCACGGCGAGGTACGCGGGAAGAGGGGCCGGTAGGGGCGGGTAAGGGAGGTGGGGGGGGGAGGTGGGCGGCGGAATGGGCGGTTGCAGGGCAGTGGGGCGCGCGGGTAGTGCGTGTGGATCCGCAATATGGCTGCCACGAGGGCATGATTGCATTTTCGTGCCGAGTTGAAGTGTCCGTTATGTTTCCCTCACTCATCAGCCCTTCCATCGTTCACTCTCGCCAACTCTCTTTTATTGTCCTTCCCTCCCTTCTCTCTCTCTCTCTCTCTCTCTCTCTCTCTCTCTCTCTCTCTCTCTCTCTCTCTCTCTCTCTCTCTCTCTCTCTCTCTCTCTCTCTCTCTCTCTCTCTCTCTCTCTCTCCCTCTCTCTCTCTCTCTCTCTCTCTCTCTCTCTCTCTCTCTCTCTCTCTCTCTCTCTCTCTCTCTCTCTCTCCCATTTCTCGCTCTCCACCCTCCTCTCTCTCGGTCCACGCGCAGCTGTTCTGTCTGCTGTTCCTGGCGCTGCTGTGTCTCCTTCCTCCCACGCTCACGCCCGCTCTTGCGAGCAGCTACTCTACCATCCCGGCAACATCGGCGGCAGCAGACACAGCCGAAGCAGCACCAGCTGACAGGGCAGCAGAGACAGCAGCAATAGCATCAGTGGAAGGAGCATCTAGTAGCCACGCGTTCGTTCCTCTCGTTCCGCTCCATAGAAGCACGTTCCATCATAGTAACACAGCATCAGCACAAGCGGTAACAAGCTTAGAACCGGCCTCCCACGTGCGATTATCCTCGTCAGTGGTAAGCCGGCCGTCCCACAGCAGCACGAGTGGCACGACTCGCCTCAGACTCAGTTCCAGATTGCCCTCTCTCTCGCCGCTCTCTGCCATGAAGCCTGCACACATTGGCCTGGAGGCAGGCGCAGGAGCAGGGGCAGGGGGAAGCGCAGGAGCAGGGGCAGGAATGGTGGCAAGGACACAAGGGTCGATGGCAGGGAGACAGGGCGGCATGGCAGGGGGCGAGGTTGCTGGAGCTGGCAGCAGGTTATCCGTGCTAGGAGGGGACGAGCGCAGTGGAGGTGCTGTGATTGCCGTTCCTATTAGGCTTGGCAACATGGGGGCCGGGCAACAATCATTGCATGCCACATCAGCATCGTACAACAGTCCTCTCATGCCAAGCATACGCATAGGGAACAGCAGCAGTTTTTCACAAAAGCAGCAGCAGCAGTCACGGCAGCAGCTGCTGCTCAGACAGCAGTGGTGGCGGCAGCGGCTGCATCGACTGCAGAGGCAGCGACAGATACGGCGGCAGCAGCAACGGCAGCAGCGCCTGCGGGCGCAGCAGCGGCAGCAGCAGCAGCTGCGAAGCTCCCTCATGCCATCAATCAGACCCTCCCAGCCTCAGCTGCTGCAGGCGCCTGATTCTGGTGACAGCAGTATCAGCATGCAAACGAGGGCTCAGGGGAGTACAGCGCTGCCCCTCCTGCCACACACCAGCACATCTGGCCCGCAGCAGATGGGGAATCAGATGCAGCCGCTGCAGCCGTTGGATAGCTTCACTCCGCGCCAAGTGCCAGCTGTAGTGCTGCCGGTGCAGCAGCAGCAGCCCATTCAGCCGCAGGCAGGGCAGCAGCCGATGCAGGTGCGGATTCCAATGAGCCAGCCAGCTCCTGTGAATGCTCCCCACCTGGCAGAGCTCCCTGGTCACCAAATGAAGCCGCGTAACAAGCCGCTGGAACCCCTGTCGCAGCCAGGGCAGCCGGGGCAGCGCATGAGAGAGCGCGAGGTGGACTGCCCGTATCGCACGGAGGGGCAGGGGCAGAACCTGCACCGCTGCGCCATGGGGTACGCGGGGTGGGCGAATGTGACAGGCGGGAAGGGAAAGGTGGTGTACTGGGTGTCCTCTGCCATGGATCACCCCACCTCCCCCTTGCCTGGGTCACTGCGCTGGGCACTGAACAGGCTCCGCAAGGGAGCCACCATTCGCTTCTCCCGCAGCATGGTCGTGAATCTCAAGGACCGGCTTTTCGTGCGCTCTGATACCACTATTGATGGGCGGGGGGCGACGGTGAAGATTAATGGCCCCATGGCGGTGTATCGGTCGAGGAATGTGATTATACACAACGTGGCTATAGGGAACGCCAAGGGGAACACGGACGCGCTGCATATTCGGAACAGCTCGCGCGTGTGGGTGGACCATTGTAGAGTGACCAATACGTATCGCGGCACAATTGATGTTGTGAAGGGGTCGACAAACGTGACTATATCAAACTGCTTCATCCGCAACTTGTAAGTGGTGTGCATCTGTAATTTAGCACTTTATGGTTGTTGCCTTCAGCGATTGCATCCTTCCACTTCCATTGCTCTTTCTTCTCGCTCCTTATTGCCTGACATGCCATGTAACTCCTCTCACCTCATCACGCCTGTCTTCTCTCTGCACCCTCCCGCTCCCTCTCGTCTCTCCAGCGGTTTCACCATGCTGCTGGGTGCAGCAGACAACGACACATTTGACACGCAGATGAAGGTAACAGTCTACCGCAACTGGTTCTATGGGTCAGGCCAGAGGCAGCCGCACGGGCGCTGGGGCAAGATACACGTGGCCAACAACCTCTACACCAACTGGACCTACTACTGCCTCGGCGGCCGCGTGCACGCCAACATCCGGTCAGACCGAAACATTTTCATCGCGGGCAGCAAACGCAAGGAGGTGACGCCGTGGTTTGGGCCGCAGAGCCCGTCGGTTCCTGGGTTTGACAACACGCCCACCATCCGTTCGTTCAACGACTCGTTGCGCAACGGTGCCACCTTCCATGTCTTCCCGGGGACCCCGCCCAAGCCGACCTTTGTGCCGCCGTACAAGCTGCCGCTGCACTCGGCCGATGACATCCTGGGGGCGTTTGTGGCAAGGAATGCCGGGCCTCGTGTGGGCACCGCGCCTCTCCTGCCCTGCACCACCACCACCTGCTGGAGCTGCTGCTGACGCACACACAGACCGCCTCTGGCTACAGCATATACTTGCAGAGCTTAGACATTTTAGGTACCTTCACATCCTGCTCCACAGAACATCCTCTCATAAGTATACCTCCGTGGTTTGTTCTAGTTTAGTAGGTGAGTTTTTAGCAGCACATGGTTGTCGAGTAACTTCTGTGTACATAGTGTGCATGGACGTTTTACGAAAGATGCTATAGAGAGGATGCAACATTATTTACCTCCGCTGTACCAATCACATGTGTGAAATTCCTTTGTATGGAGGTTGTAGTACATATTTATGAAACCAAAATTAGTACTGCTTGTTGATTCCAACAGCATAACACTACTTGCAAGTGTAAGCGGATTCGTGGGCAATTTATGTGGAAGTGTTCTGAACTTTTCCACATGGATGGTGCTCGCTACAATTCTCGAGGGCCTTGGGCTTTGGAGACTGAATGGTAGGAATCGGTTCAGCGATCAGGGTTACTCCCTTTTGCGCCGTTTGATCGATTCGATCCTGAGGTGTATGATACATGGACAGAATTCCCGCCATCACTTCATTGGGGCGCCTCTCAGACGAAGACTCCAAAACCACCAAAGCTTGGCAAGTTTTCGTGCAAGCCTAGGGGTGATCCTACATTGGGGAAAGCCCCTCAAATTGATCCTCGATGATAGCCATCCAGCTGCGAGCGACTCTGTTCCTGCGCGTTGACGAAACCCAGTTTCCAGTCACCAATGCATTCGCTGATACGCAAGTACCTGAGCTGCCTTTCTCCCCAAAGCAGAGGATGATATTACAGTCAGAATACTGAACAAGGATGAATGCATTGAGCAGAAAGTTGGTACAAGTACTAACCCTAATTCGGTCGTACCCCTAATGGGCTACCCCACTACAGCCTACACAATATAAGCATTATAACATTTTGACACACCCCCATAGGCAAAGTGGGGGAGAACAAGTGGTCACAAGACCAGTCAAGAAAAGCAAAGCAAGCTCAAGGTGGATCACGAAGTCACCACACATTCCAAGCACAAGCAAATGACCACAAGGCCAGTTCACATGCAAAGTTATATAAATGAGAACAAACAGTACAGTGATCATACTTTAGCAAGTGTAAGCATGCAGGTATATATATAGATCACAGCACAAGCAAAGTCACGCAGTGAGCAAGTGAGGCAAACTACTCACAAGGCCTAAAACAGTATAGAAACGCTCATGATCACCAAACTGAAGTGCCTTGGTGAATATATCAGCAGTGTTGGCCCGAGTGGCCACGTAAGCAAGACGAAGCTGACCACGCTGCTGCAACTCTCGAGCAAGAAAGTAACGCAGAGCAATGTGCTTCGTTCTGTGCTCCAGTCTGTGCTCCTGACACAAGGCAATCATGGCCTTGTTGTCTACGTATAGAGCCGGAGAAGAACGAGGCCGCTCTCCCAAGTCGGTCAGCAGGTAGGTGAGCCAGCGTAACTCCTGTGCAGCCATGGCCCCTGCGTAGATCTCAGCCTCACAACTGGAACTGAGAACAGAAGACGAGCGAGTAGACCGCCAAGAAACAGAGCCGGAGCCAAGGCTGAAAGTGTAACCCTGTGAAACCGCTGCGTAGCCAAGTCGTCAACCCAAGAAGCGTCTGCGTGTCTAGTGAGGAAAACTGGACCCCGTCCTCCAAGAACGAGCCCCATGCCCGAAGTACTGCACAAGTAGCGCAACACCCTCTTAGCGGCCTCCCAGTGCTCTGGTCGATGTATACCGGGCGCAACGTAGCGTGCTAGGATGCTAAGAAGGTAGGCAAGGTCAGGTTGAGTGCAGGTCATCAAGTACATGAGGTAGCCCAGAAGCTCTCGATATGGGCCACTCGGCTCTATGGACTCGCCCAAAGGTGGAGCTGAGAGCGAGTGACCGGTAGGCAGAGGAGTGGACTGTGGCGAGGAGTACCGGAAGCCGAAGCGCTGAAGGACATGGTGCACCATGTGTGTCTGAGTCAGGGTGATGGTGCGCCGTACTCTGTCCCGGGTAATCTGCAAGCCAAGATAGCTACGCAGCTCACCCTGGTCAGTGCAGGTGTGTCTCTTCTGCAGCTCCCAATTCACAAGGGTTAGTGCCTCGATGTCAGAATTGGCAAAGACCAAGTCGTCGACGTACACGAGGACGTAGAACGGCGGCAGCGGAGTGTCGGTGCGTAGAAACAGTGACGAGTCAGCAGTCGAAAGAGCAAACCCAAGAGCCGAAGTGTCGTCCTCAGTGTGTCCTACCACTCGCGAGGAGCCTGGCGGAGACCGTAGACTGGCCGCCGGAGGCTCCACTGGGTACGCAGTGAAGCCAGGTGGGCGGCGCAGCCAGATCTCCTCGTGCAGGCTGCCCGGTAAGAAAGCTGTGCTGAAGTCAAGAGAGTGCAGCTCGTAGTCACGCTGAGCGGCGACGTGCAGCAGCACCCGAAGAGTGGTCATCTTCGAGGTAGGGGAGAAGGTATGGAAGAAGTCAACTCCCTGTCGCTGACTGAAGCCTCGTGCAACGTAACGAGCCTTGAAGGCAGGCGGAGAACCCGGCGGCCGCTTCACCCTGAAAATCCACATGCCATCGACTATGTTCACCCCAGGAGGGGGAACTGCATCGACGTAGGTGCCTGTGGACTTCCAGGATGCCATCTCTGCGTCCATGGCTGTCTGCGAATGAGAGGAGTAGGGACCCGCAATCGCCTCTGCGTAAGAGCGCGGGGTCGGGATGTCAGGTGCATCCGGGTCTCTTTCAGGTGCAAGCAGCATGGCCACGAGATGAGGTACAGCAGCTCCAAGACACGCAAAGTCTTCCTGCCTGTCCTCAAGGACGTCTGTGCCAAGAGCACACTCACCCCCGACGGACGGAAGAGAGACAGACTCAGACTCAGCAACAAGACGACAGGCGGCAGCAAAGTCAACAAGCTCAGCAACTAGGGCGGACGCAGCAGTGGACTCAAACGAAGGGTCAGTGACAACAGTGGCTAGAAGACGAGGGATAGTAGGACTGGCAGCACGAGCTACGTCAGACCCAGGGTCAGGAACATCAGGAAGAGAGGACGCAGGAGGAGATGGCAGGGGAACTCGTAGTGGAACAGAGGAAGGACGAAGTGCCATAATGTGAGTGCCGGGGAAAGGAGGAGGATGCGGACGAGGAACACGACGACCAGTGCGAACAGGCAAGGCAGGACGAGACTCAGGCTCACGACGCTCTGTAAAAGAGTCTGTCTGCTCAAGGTAAGGAGAAGGAGCAAGCATTGTGGAGTCTGGCTGTAATTGTGGCTGCGACTGGTGAGGCGGTGGACACAGTAAGCGAGGAGTAAGGCCAGTAGAAGACGGGAGACTAAGAACCTGGCGAAGGACCAAGTCAGGTGGCGGTAGAGACGACGGCGGCGGCGGAACAAAAAACGGTCGCCGCTGCACAGTGCCTCCAGCACCAGTTACGCCAACTCCAGCACCCTCAACGCCAACACCTCCAGCCCCAGGGTCTCTAGCTCTAGGGCCTCCAGCTCCAGCGCCTCCAGCTCCAGTGCCTCCAGCTCCAGCGCCTCCAGCGCCAGCACCTCTAGCTCCAGGGTCTCCAGCTCCAGGGCCTCCAGCTCCAGCGCCTCCAGCGCCAGTGTCTCCAGCTCCAGCTCCTCCAGCTCTAGTGCCACCAACACCACCTGCTCCGGTAGCTCCAGTACCCTAGTACGAGCACCTCTGGGACCAGCACCTCCAGCACCTCCGGTACCTCTAGCTCCAGAAGTAACTCCAGCACCTCCAGGACTATAAGCTCCACCGCCTCCAGCTCCAGTGCCTCCAGCTCCAGCGCCTCCAGCTCCAGGGTCTCCAACACCTCCGGCTCCGGCAGCTCCAGTACCCCTAGTACGAGCACCTCTAGAACTAGTAGCTCCAGCACCTCCAGCTCCAGTGCCTCTAGCCGGACAGCCTCCAGCTCCTGCAGCGCCACTCCTAAGGCGTGTGCGCTGAGCAAACCACTCGCGCAGCTGCTGCGGTGAGAGAGGCTCCCGCCGGGGAGACAGTCGTGGCGAGGCACTCGAAGGACCTCCAGCAGACGCAGTACCTTGAGGCTCAGCACCCCCAGACTCCGCACCCTCAGACTCAGCACCCGTAGACGCAGCACCCCAAGACGCAGCACCTCTAGCAGCACCTGGGTCTACAGCGACCTCGACAGGCACAGTCCCGAGGAGTGGGTCTACCTGAGACACACTTGAGGGAGCAGGACCCTGAGGGGGGAGAGGGTCTAGCGGAGGGGGACCTGGAGCAAGGAAGAGCGGCGGGGGGGGGAGAGGGGCAGTGCAGTAGGGGAAGAGACGGTAACAGGGAACCGACTCGTCAAACATGGCGTCCTGGGAGGGAAGGACACGGCGCGAGGTGGGGACAGCGGTGGGAGTGGTGGCGGGAGTGGGGGCTTTGGTGGCGGCGGTGGTGGCAGCGGTGGGGGCGGCGGTGGTGGTGGCAGTGGGAGTGGTGGCGGAGGCGGTGGTGGCGGTCGGGGTGGAGCTGTTTAGAGGGGAGATTCTGGCGGTGGCCAGAGGCAGCTGCAGTAGCGTCGGAGCGAGACCCCTACGCCCCAGCAGCTTCGTGAGTGGTTTGCGGGGCGTCTGGAGTAGTGTTCGCTGCCCGTATGTCATTCGTACGGGTGACCGTGCTGGTCAGACATGTGGGAAGTTTCACTCTCAGCACCGCTGCTTCTCCCGCTTTGACGACGCTTGGCGCGCAGAGTTTGGTGACGAGGCTGAGCGCCCCTGCTGGTCAGAGCTGCTTAGGTCTGGAGTTGATATCTTTGCTCTTGACTATGATGCTATCCTTGCTGCCATGTATGCCTTGTCTGTTAGTGCTAAGGGTGACTGTTACCTGTGTGTGCCGCCCGACCCAGGTATAGAGGCTGCTGCTTTAGGTGCTAGTTGGTCTGCTCTCTCTGGTACTGCGCCTGTTGAGGCCTTGTACACCTTTATGATTGACTCATGTGCTTCCCGCTTTTTCTTTCGCGACAGTACCACCCTCACTCCACTC